CCCCCCCCCTTTTCTTGTGCCTGCCAGCGGCCTAGTGACGTGGCACCTGAGCTACTCGCGCATCTTGCCTACGGTGATGGCCATGCTTCGTTTGGAAGAATGATGGCCGTGCTTCGTTTGGAAGAGTGATGGCCATGTTCGTTTGGAAAAATGATAGCCATGCTTCGCTTGGTAGAGTGATGGCCATGCTTCGCTTGGTAGAATGGTGGCCATGCTTTGCTCGGAAGAGTGACCAACCTTCTTGCATCGTGCATCGTCCATCGTTCATCTCTGCTTTGTGACGCGCTCGCATCGACATCCGATGAGCGGGGCACACCCCTTTTTTCTTTCTTTTCGGCTGTGTTGGGGATTGGCTTATCGTTGTTGAGATAGAATTGACTGCTGTCAGTATATATATATATATATTTTTTTTTTTCTTGTGTGTGTCAAGATTGGAAACTTTTTCGTCGAGATGAAGGAATCGGTCATGGACCCCCTATCTGTCGTTGATCCTGTGTGTCGGAAGCCTGCGATCTTGACTTTTTTTTTTTTCAGCCGGTATTGTTGTCCTCCTTCTCAGCTTGGCAGAACGACGTGCAAAGTTATTGCCGGGGGGCCCGCCGCGGCCGTATGTAGCTAAGCAAAACCTGCGGCGCCGCTGCTACTGCACTTGGAAAAAACAAAAAAAGTCGTATTGTGGTGTGCTGCGGTGTGCTGTGGAGTCGGATTCAAGTTGGTTTTTCCTTGCGTGTATTTGTTGTTAATTTTCGTTTTTGTGGCTTGGAAGAGTGCGCGAGTATGGTTTGTTTGACGGCCGCGCTGGGGGTTTGAGTGGCGTGCGTGATTTTTGTAGTTGCTTCGGTAAGGTCGAAAATTATCTGATGATGAACAAACAAATGCAAGATTGCCACCAAGCTGTGTCCCGCAGATTCATTCTTTTCTGTTGCATGTTGCGCGAGGATCAGTAGAAATATAGGTACGTCACATGTATACCCCTATGAATCCCATGCGAGTGAGTGTATCCTGGACTGATTGGTCCGATTGGTCTGTGTTTTGGTTCCCATCAGTAACTATTCTCGGCGCCAGCCGGCCTAGTCCTTTCGGGACACTGCTGTTTGACGGATGGGGATGCATTAGATGCTGTTTTTTGAAGGGGAGAAAACAAAATGTCAGCCATCTTAATCCCATCGATCGTCCCCGAACTGCTCGTACTGCCGTTGTTTCGGGGGTGGCCGGTGACGTCAACGCGTCCACATTTTTTTTCCGTCATTTTGTTCTCATACAGTAATAATAGTGTTCTTCTGGACGAAGACGCGTATAATTGTTTCCACGAAGACAACCGGGTGGTTGGTTGTTGCTGTCGTTGCACACACACACCTAGTTTTTTTGTCCGGACATCGAGCTTTGCAACTGGTTTGGAAGAAGGTACACCCCGACCGGCATTTGCTGGTGAGGTGAGTTGCTCTCCATGGTTTCTGTCTTGTCTAGTTCCTTCATCCACGCTTCATAATGTTCGATGGTGCACCGAGCTACAACGCGAAAGCACGCTGGTATGGGGGGGGCACCTTGAACAAGTGGCCGCACTCACTGCGTGTTTGTTTCCGAGAAGGCTAGCCATCCTCACTCGGAACTAAATACTGTGGACGAGCGCATATCGCTGTGTCGGTAGTCGGGGATGGGTCAGTCAGACACACCACCGTCACGAGGCAACGAACGGCCTGGGAGTTCGTTACGACACTTGACGTTACCACGGAATGCTCCGTCCGTCCATGGCATACTTCATCCCAGAGATAACGGAGAGAGAGACCGTACTCTATTGTCAACACTACTGCTCTACGAACAACAACGTGTTCATACAGCATACCGTATATGACACAAGATAACACACCCCCTAGACCGATTTTCAAAGCTCGATTACTCCACGACGAAGAGAATGCATAAACGCAACGATACATTTTCGAAAAGCTCTCGACGAGACGTTTTCAACGCCGCCGTTTTCGGCGCTGTGACTGTTCCTGCAGTTGAGAAATCGGGCTTCAAAAATTGGTCAAGGGGGTGTGTTATCTTGTGTCATATACGGTATATCGTGGTGGCGGTGGCGGCGAACACACCAACACATGCACTACCCTCAGCCCTCAGCCATGAAGCCAGGTGTATCTGTCATGTTCATAGCTTCAGATCAACAATCTTGGGGAAGCTCCACAAAAAAGTCAAGCACTATGTGGAAAAAAGTAAACACGTACAAAGTATTGTGATACGAAGCAGCCTCCCCACACGAGATCAGATACCTCTTTGCGTGGAAGCACACACACGAAGAAAGACTTAAGTGCTCTGGTCCTCCTTAGTTTGACAAAATATNCCCCGCTCGCTCTCCGTCAGGCCCCCCAAGGAGGTTGAAACACCAGCCCAAGCCCCGCCCTCCCGCAACAAACAATCTCGCAGCCTGTGTAGGAAGGTATGCATTTATTATAGTACCAACCAACCACCTACCCATTGATTTAACACCAGCACCGCGGTGCCCCTTCGAGTCACCGGTTACTACCCCGAAGCCGAGACGACAGTCCTTCCCGGCGTTGTTGCTGGCGCTCGATACGTAACAGAATCGATCGGGTAATCGAACGACTTAGGCAGGGTAATAATTTTCGTTTTGTGCAAACCCCGAAAGAACGAAGCCTGAATTGTTTCAAAAATAAAAAAAATCGGAATGCAACAACAAACGATCAAGGAACCAAGGACGCACGACCGACCTAGTATACACCGGGTACTATGCGCGTGCCAAACGCAGCACATGAGGGGATGCGAGATAGTAGGTGGCTCTGCGCGCGCAGCTCTCGCGTGCTCAACAATATTTCTCAATTGGACAAAAAAAACACCCTTGATCCAAGCATACTCTCGATATAACACCCGTAAAAGGCCCACACGCCATAACCCGGCTAGCGGGTGGGGGGAGGAGTAGATAGGGCTGCTGGTTGCACCACCCCCTGTTGTTGTCGTTGTCTGCACAGAAAAAAAGTCCCACAATAACATGAAAAAAAAAAAAAAGTCCACGAAACACGCCACAAGCAGCAGCAGCAGTACGTCCTTCCCAGAAGACGCCGTGCTCCCACCAACAAGAGAACACAAAAACACATTTTTCACTGCCGTCTTCTTTCCAAGCGGTCGGCCTTCCTTCTTGTGTACGAGGCTACGAGGCTACTAGGCTACTAGGCTACTAGGCTACTAGGCTCACACACACCACAACGACACCGCCAACGGCTTAAAGGACACATTTTTACCAACAACGTAAATGCGTTTCGCGTTAGTCATGTCGGCCCATACTACGCCCCCCCCCCCCCC